ATGTTCTTCTCCTCGGCGGTAAAGTGAGCCGCTCTGCAGTCAGACTTGTCCATAGTCGTGATTGGTCAGTTACTGATAACAGCGCCCATTCTATGTGCACACACTCATACTCGGATCAGACAAACCTGGGCTGACTTATTGAGTTGACAACCACCGGTTAGCCTGAGTGCCGTTGTTAGGGTCAGTCAAGCCAGATCTCTGACAGATATCCTGGGTATGTTGATCTCGCTTCATAGTGCAGGCCCCAGGATACTCGGGCCGGCAATGAGATACTCAAACGATACTCGAAGTTTACTCAAAAATGCCTCATAATTTCAATATGTTTATAGTATGCCTCTTCCAGGACAGGACCCGGATATTTTTATCACTTTGTAGAAAACAACCAGGATGGCCAGGACAGGGCATGAAAACAGGATGTTTGGTCACGCTAAACCAAAGTTAACAGCCAGTAAAGTCTAAGAAATACTGAGCGAAAATGAAAGTAGATAATGAGAACAGTGAGCGAAGTGACCACAGGAGGAAGGCAAAAGTAAACAGCACGTGAAAACTAAACCAGACAAACACAGTAAACAGGAAGTGACGATGAAAATAGACAGTAAGTGAAAACTACAGTAGACAGCGAGTAAAATTAAATCAAACAGCAAGGGAAGACAAACGCAAACAAGGAACAAAAATTAAAGTAGACGGTGACTGACGGTGAAACTAAACAGCAAATGAGAGTAGACAACATTATTTGGACGTGGTATTGCATCTATGTTTATCTGTGATGTGATTATTGGCAACTTTCCTTTTATACTTTCTAAAAGTTTCTGATCTTCAAACAACAGCAAAGTTCAGTTTTCATTGTTAATTTGGAACTTTAGTCAACATCCTTTGAATTGTTTGTTGAAATCTGTATTAGAGATGAAGTTGACTCCTGTGCCGCTGTTTCATCTGTTTAGGGACGTTCCCTTAATCAGCCGGGGCCTCATTTCTTGAGGGTGAACGTTGTTTTTCGGCTGCTGAAAACACTCCCATCTTCCATCTAACACAGTCTCCCGACAACTCATTTAGTCACATTAATTATTCAGACACTCGATAATTGATGTTTCCAGTAAATGTTGACACGATTAATGACTCCCCGGGGTTGTTTCACACGTCTTAATGAACCTCCGTGGGGACAAATGGCGGCAAAGTTAAACATGAATAAACAAAGTGAAATAGAAAAGTTTACTTCAGCATTTAATGTATAAAGTGTCTGATGTTGATTTTGTTTTAGTCGAATTATAGATTCTCCTTTTTGTTTTAGTCAAAAACACTCCAAACACTTAATGTAATTTTGGCATCTTTTAACTTTTATATCTCGTAGACAGTTTAAGGCTGCAGGTGTCTTAGTGGGTGGTTACCATGGTAACAGGTGTTATTATGGTCCATGGCTCAGATCCTTTGTTCCTCTGCAGTGATACAACAAACAGACTATCTATCGTATAATATAATATATAATAGTTGGAAAATAAATTGCAATATATTTTGGTTTTTCTGTGATGTACAGTGCCGATTCCACCCTCCTTGGAAGCTTTCCCTTCTATTTCCTTTCAACAATCAGTCGCATTCAGTTTAAACTGGCATTTAATGATGGAAATTTTGGCAATTTTGGGGGAAGAATTTACAGAAAAAGGGACTCTTTCATGTCCAAGTCAGAACAGCTTGCGAAGTAAAATCAATTAATTAAAAACATAATTAACTGAAAACACAACATTGGTAGCCAGCCTAGATCAAAATCAGCCCAGATGCAGTCAGTTAGTGCTCGAGGTCACACATGGAGTGTAATGGAGATCACCTGAATGCAGTAAATGTGTTTTATGTAGATTATAGCATAAAGACACCTGTGTCTGGAAGGTCCAGCCACTGGTTGATGAGTTCTTCTGGATGTAAATACCATAGATGTATATTATGAAGGCTAGATGTCTCATCCACGCTGTTGGCCAATGGAATCGCACGGCCACATTGGCGGCCATCTTGGTACGGCCCGCTCGCTCACCCATAACATTGTGTTGTAATGGTGCATGTACTTTTACATAACCACAACTTGCTCAATTTTCTACCAATTTTCAAACGGTTTGGTTTGTCATAAACATCAGAGGTGTAGTTATAACACTGCACTGATGGATTATTATGTTGCACTCTCACAGCCAGCAACAATTTCTATTTTGATTATTTTGTATTTTATTTGTATTTTTGTGATTTGAATTGTAGTCACGTTAATAACGTTTGTACGACACCAAACCGTTTGTAAATCTGCCAAGATTTCAGCGAGATAAGAGTATTTACGTTTGTTCAGATCACTCACCTTCCTTCACGTACCACAGGTTCCCTCAGAGAGCTGCCCCGAATCAAGATGGCCGAAGGGTGATCCCGTTCGAAACACCGACTTAAGACATCTAGCCTTTATTATATATATCTATGGTTAATACACCATGAAAACAAAAGAACACTCCAAGAAACTCTGTCAAAAGATTACTGAAAAGCATAACTCAGGTTATGGATACAAGAAAATGTCCAAGTTACTGAATATTCATTCAGTACAGTTAAATCCATCACTAAAACATGGAAGGAATATGGCACATGTCTAAA